ATAGATCGAGCTCCGTAGCAGCGATCGAGAGGGCAAGAAATGGCGGGCGCCGGGCGGGCGGACTCGCTATGGAGCCGCCGCCGATAGAAAGAAAGAGTAAAACCACAAACGCGAAAGCGTGCGTGGGGGATTTTTCCTCCTCCCCGGTTAAAATATTCCACCCTCCCCGGGTAAGAACCGTTTTACCACACCCATTACGTACAAAATAATGTGGTCCACATTTGTTGGTTTGTACTTGGGCCAGTGGCTCCCTGGCTATGAAAACTGTGCGTGTCATTATAGTAAGCAGGGCGCCAGCGAGGATATTGCTGGACCCCTCCATGGGATTATCCGCCAAAAATCTTCATACCATACCAAACCATTAGCGGTTAATTATTCCTCGCGAACGAGAACGCGGGGATTGGAATATGCCCCTGGAGAAGCATTGAACCACACCAAACAAACGCAATTACACCTTTCTCGCATTCTTACAATTTCGCGACAACGACATAAGATTAAACTATGGGTGGCGTGTTTATTTAGAATTAGGATAGATATGGGCTTTGTATTCTTCCCTCAAACAAACACCTCTATCTTCCAAAACGATCGATCGTGGATTTAGCATTGGATGCTCGCTGGGCTTTTCTCCGTTCTTTAGCTCAGAAATGGACGTCAATTTTCGCGGTAAACATCTCAACTACCACGTAGGACGCCTGGCACTGCCATCCTGGCAGGGATCGTCCGATGTGTCGGCCTGTCACTCGTCACGGGTAGCTCTGGTCCATCCCTCTACTCTCGTGACCCCTGCCACGCAGACGACACCATCATTCTCTAGCCTGCATTTTGACATCAGGATTTACCTTCCACTCTTTTTTACCTTGTACGGGAGTGGGTAAAAGTCGCTCTAGCTTTTCTCCAGGGAACCTGTAAGGAATCTTTGAAGCATAGAAAAGCTTTGGGTGGAATCATCACGCATTCCCCAAATTCTAAAGTAGTATAAGTTGACATAAAGGTTTTGATTGCACAGGCAGCAAGCCCAAGCACCCACAAAATTAAATCATAAAAAATCATAGATTTCTCAAAGACAACACAAAAATCAAACCCAAAGCACAACATATCAGATTGACCGGAATAAAACCATCTAAGTATTGTTTAGTGCAAAAGAGCGGGTCTCTTTCCAATAATTAATATCCATAAAACCAAATCATGTTGGTCATACTCAACCTCATCCACTGCCATATTTTTTTATTGATGTTTTTGCTCAAGGTACCTGGATTAAAAAGCCTGAAGCTCTTGCTGCCAGATTCGAACCCCGGCATGAACCTTATCATTGTCTGGACTCGATTCTAAAAAGATTCCACACCCGTGCAAGCATATTACCTGAGTTATGCATCGAAAGGATCAATCGAAAAGAAAAAGATGGTAGGAAACACAATAATATGAAAATAGTTGATGATACGATTGGAGTTTCCAAACTCCTGTGATCATTTGCTCATACACGCGACCATCGCGCTCAATGCATTCTTATCTTTGGCCAAAGAGATCAATGAGTTCTCTCTTTCTTTTCTCTTCTTGTTCTCGCTGGCTGGAAGTTGTGCTTTAGAAAGTTTTGATTAGAAGAGAACTCAAGGTTATAGAAGCAATGGACGGATTTGCCAGAACTTACGGCCTTGTCAATTGTTCTTTGAGTTTGTGGTCGCACAGAACTGGAGGGAAGTTTGAGTGTCCGAGCTTCCCAGGCAGTTGTATGGATCCTCAGCCCCATACCACTCTCCCATGGCGTTCCAGCAGAAGGACGACGTAGTGGACAAGTCATTAGAACCGGAAAGCGTAAGACTTACATCCTGCAGGAAAATATTCTGGCAAGGGACGGTGTCGCTGCACGCAAGGTACACTGAGAAATCTGTCCGAGACGTGCCGCGGATGTTCTTGAAATAAACGTCGTGAACTTGCACCGCATCTGTCTGGAGCATCGTCAATTTCGGATCAAAACGCTCAGAGTTTCTTTAACCGAGAAACAGAAACCTGGTTCTCGCAAGGAAGCACACTGTCGCAGTAGAACTGGTTTATAATGACTGGAAATGCAACGTCATTCATTGTCACACTCTCGAAATGAACGTCATGAACCACCCCTGTACCGCCCTGGAAGCAAAAAAGAAGATCAGTCTAGCCAGCCTAGAAAAGATTGAAAGAGAAATATGTCACGCCTGCCATGTCTTAATCCTCAAGCCGTTTTGGGCTCCATTTATGACAAGGTCCTTGACATAAACACCAGCAACGCAAGCCCAGGAATCATATTTTCCAAGGCCACCTATACTGCGCAAGAAAAATATGAGAAAACTTCCGTGGAGATCACGGGATCAGGAAAAACCCCACCTCACACCGTGGCCCGGACCACAAGTCACTCTCTCGATATAAATGTTATACGAGCCTGTTTGTATGGAGATGCAATCGTCCCCTGGAAAACCCACCACTTTGTCAACACCGAGAAAACTTCGAGCGATTACCTGTGCCGATGAGAGTGTCCTGGAGATAAACGTTTTCCGAGCGGACAATATGTATACCATCTGTGTTGGGACTGTCGCTGGGAGCAACAACTTGTAGTCCAGTCATGTAGACCTCGTTGCAGCTTTCCACTGAGAGATGGAATTCCTGGCTGTCTTTCAAGGTCAAGTAGGAGATCTCCACGGCACTGATGCGTCTCAGCAATACGGACTGCGAGCTGAGGGACATACATTAGCGTTGAATGAGAGAAAAAAAAGCACCGACTCAAGGATATAGAAGTTTCAAAGCGATCCCATGCTTCTTCTTTTTGTTTAGTTCTGAAAGTTCGAGAGGCGGACGAGAGGTAACCTACGGTTGGTGATTTCGTTCGGCAATCCTGGCATTAAACATTTCCATCAGCGAAAAAGAGGAAAAGAAGATAAAGCTCACCGCAAAAGGATAGATCTTGCATGAATAAGCCCACCAAAAGTCACCTCTTCCGTCTATCACACCATAGCCGGTTAGCCTGAAAAGCTGGAGACCACTGAAAACCAGCCAGCCATCAAGGTCTACGTTCCAGTTACTAAGATCATCCCTTGCCATGATTGTTCCATCCACCTAGAAGGAGAAAACAATGTGAGTTCTTGGAAGAAACTATTGTTCTTTCTAGCTATGGAGGGCAAAATACCCGCAAAGTGATATAATCCGCGCAAGGACCCGAGAGCTCCACTGGCCCGATCACAAACGAGTATGTTGCTGGGAACAGCACTGTGGAGGACGGGACGAAGCAAGCAGCTTCCCAGGCGCTCAAAAATGCCTGGACGATCGAAACAAGGAATTGGAATCGCACAGATATTTTTCGCTCAAGAACAAGTACCTGGGAGTCGTCCGTCTCGCCATCGCCAAGCGCGCCAAAGGATGTGACATCGAAGACCGGAGGGACGAAAAGGAAGTCGCTATCTTCCAGCGCCGATCCGACGCTCGCGAAGGCGATCGCGATCGCCATTGCTATCGCGCGCATTCCTTGCCCAAAGTATGGAATTATTTTTAGGGCTCTTGGGAGGCAATGCTCCGGACGATCTGGAATGCGCTGTGCCGGGCGATTGCCTGGATCGGCGTCCGGATCCTCCTCTGCGGCCCAGTGCCGCAGCACATCGCGATCATCATGGACGGCAACAGGCGCTTCGCGGACAGGGCCGGGATCGACAGGAAGAGCGGCCATGGATTTGGCTACGATAGCCTCATCCAGACGCTGGAGCTGTGCTTGGATCTGGGGGTGAGGTACGTAACAGTGTACGCATTCAGCATCGACAACTTCGCGCGATCGCAAGAGGAGGTGAGCGCGCTCATGGAGCTCATGCGTGAGAAGCTGGACCTTCTCGTCTCCAACGAAGGGCTGGCCACCGCGAAAGGGATTCGCGTGTGTGTTCTTGGAGACTTGACCTTGCTCCCGGAAGATGTAAGAGCTTCCGCGAATCGAGCGATGGCCGCGACCAAGCACAACTCCATAACCGTGCTTAACATATGTGTGGCCTATACATCCACGCAAGAGATTGTCAACGCTACCAGAGAGGCTGTCAAGGAAGCTCTTGGATTGAGCTCATCGAAGGTACTGGACTCATATTTCCTTAGCTCTTTCTTGTTTGTTCTTGACGGATTTGTTTTTCAGTCCGGTGGTTCTCAACTTACGAATGAAAACGATGGAAGGAACTCACTAAAGGTGATCTCTCCTTCTCCCTCTCCCTCTTCTCTTTTGACATCCTTTTCCTTGTGCTTGTTTTGGCAGACTTTGGACTCGCAAATCACAAAGGAAAGCATCGAACGGCATCTCTACACGGCAGGATCTCCATGGCCGGACGTGCTGATACGAACCTCGGGCGAGACGAGGCTAAGCAACTTTATGCTGTGGCAAGCTTGCCACTCGCACTTGGCCTTTTGCAACGTCCTGTGGCCCAACTTCTCCTTCCGGCACCTATTTTGGATCATCTTCCAGTACCAGAAAAGCTACCGATCTCTACAACACCACTGGATCAAGGCCCAGAGCTTTTGGATCATCCTCCAGTACCAGAGAAGCAACCGATCTCTACAACACCACTGGCACAAGGCCCAGAGCTTTCAAACTCGCCAAAAGTTTGGATAACATTGATGAGAAAAGAACTTTACAAAGAACTCTATGAAAACCAAATCGCCTAACATCCTCTACCAGCGCGAAGCTGCTCGGTGAACGAAGTGGTGGCCACTGGCTTGCCAAGATTATACTGGAGCATCATGCTATCAACATCCTTGACAAATCGATCAGCGAGAGGGGTGTTGATCACCTGCTGCTGTGGAACGAGCAGGAACTCGTAATTGTGAAGCAAGTAGTCGTGCGGGGCTGGCTGCATGTATCCTTCCAAAACTCTCCCGAGAGTTCCATCGCCATTGTTGATCGATGATCCGCGGATGTTTGCGACCCAGTAGTGGATGTACGTGTACTGATCCGCGATCGAGAAGATCGACCTCGACGCCCTCCGATCCAGCATAATAAGCGAGTAGAGCTGGTTGGGGTCGGCGTGGCCGGTTACTCGAATTTGAGGAGTGCTCACGGTGTCCCGGCACGAGAAAATGCTTCCAATCCTTACTGGCACTCCTCCGTACGAGATTTCCAACGAGAGAGACACTGGAGGTGGAGTTGAGTGAAAAGCTGGCGGTGGTGGTGGCGAAGATGGTGTTGGAGGTGAGTGAAAAGGTGGCGGAGCAACAGTGGCTGATGGAGATGAGCAAGGGCAGAAGCACCTATCGGAAGAACCATAGCTTGCACCAAGGAAACCGAGGAGGAGCACAGCAGCCATGCACACATAAGACTTCATCCTTCCTGTTTTACGTATATCACGTAGTTCCTTACAGTTTATATAAGATGATGGAGACCCATTTTGGTCAGGTGCCCAATTAAGCTAGTCAATTGGCAAGGGATTAAAGGTTTAAATTACTCTTATCTAGTTTAACCATGACATCATAAAAATACTCAAGTAATGATCTTGCATTGACCATGAACAATGCAATAGATGTATTTGTGGCCTAAAGGATACAATCTAGAAACTAGTTTGCATCATGAATTTATTTCTGAATTTAAGAATTTAGTTTTTAAAATATTAAATTAATAGTTTTTTTCTTTAATTTCTTATGAAAATCCTTAGCTATAGTATATTTAAATTTTTGTAAATTTTAGTGTATACTCCTTTATAAAATATATGTATATTGATAGTTAGTTAGTTAATATTAAATTTAAAAACAATTGTTAAAAATATAAATTTACACATTTTGCACATAAAAATAATGTATATATTATTCTTTATTTGTGATGTGCTTTTTTTCTGCCTTTATTAAATTTTTTAACACATTTTAAACTTTATGCCAGTTTATTAATTTTTTATTTGTTCGTCTGCAACCTACATTAGGATTTTAAAATTTTCAAAATTAGTAAATTATTTTACTTCAACTAGTTTAATAGAAGATTGTTGTCTTATTTTACTCCTGTATTTAGCTCCAAACTATAAATTTGCCAATGGATTTAATTTCAAACCATGTTTTATTTCAAAATAACAGTAAAATTTCAATTAACATTGCAAATAAAATATAGTTTTTAGAAAAGTACTTTCTAACAAAAAAGTAAAATTTTCATATATACCTTTCATATGAAATACAAAAGTAAAATCCATAATTTCGTATATAATTTTATATAATACATGAATATATCTTTTTATATATATAAAAGAATATTCCTAAATATTCTAAATGTTTAAGGCAAACCAAACCCATGCGTGATAATGATGGAAGGAGATGGGGAAGGGGAAGAAAGGTAAATTATTTTTATCTATTATATTATTAATAAAATAATATTTTAATGAAAGGATTATTATTGTTGCTGCTAAAAGGAAAAGAGGAAAGTTTACAAATCATTAATTTCAAATATATTTTAGTGTTGTTTGGTCAATATAACCAAAACCATTATTATCCCACTTGTACATAGCCCAGGTGTTCAACCTAGATATCTGAGTTGTCAATACCTCTTTCAAATCCATAAATGCCCGCTCAAAGTTCACAGACTACATGAAAGATGACATTGACGACTTCAACAATATTCACAATAGTTCAGTGTGATCAGAAAGATGATCAACAAAATGACTGAGATACTACACCTTGCCCAAAAGCACTATACACCATTCATACACATCGAAGTAGAAAGCCTTAAAAGAGCCATAAGTTTAATTTGTTAAGATCAATTTGTAAACCCTCATAAGAAATATGGTACTCAAGATAAGTTATGTTCAATAGATATGTCGACTGTTTCAACTTTAAACAAACTTCTTGTAACTAATCAAAAACCTTATGAACATTACAAATATGTTCCTCCCATGTTTCCTCTAAATGAATCAAGACATCATTGATGAAATTAGTAGTCACTTTTGGTATCTCATAAAGAACCTCCTTTACCATCCACTAGAAAGTTGTTGGAGTATTATTCAAACCAAACGGCATCACCAAAAACTTGTATAAAAAGCAGTCTTGAGAATATTTTTCTCGGCCATCAACACTTGCCAGTACTCAGAAGCAAGATCTAACTTAGTGAACCAATGACTTCTCCCCAGAAAATCCAAGAGTTTAGTAGTATAAGGAAAAGGATACATATTAAAGATCATCAATTTGTTTAATATATGATAGTTGATGCAAAAATAAATACTCCCATAAAGCTTTGTTACAAAATGATATTTACACGCTCAAGGACTCTATGACTTTCAAATAACACCCTTTCTAACATCTCCTTAACGTTTGCACATAAACTCTTGAGCTCTTTTAGTGACCAAAACATAATAGGAACCTTGATTGGATGAGTATCCCCAATTGAAATAGGATGACGTATTGCAATCTTAGCCCAAAACGACAAGTCAAATTCAAAGAGATCAATATACTCCTTCATGAGCTAGTCAACTGCCATAATATAAAGACCATTAGAGGGATCTAAAGAGGGAATAGTGGAATAAGATAGAAACATAAGAGAAAGTAATGGAAACACAAAAGTGATAGAAGTAGAGGCACAAAGAGAAACAAAAATGAGATAGGAATGGAAGAAATATAAAAAAGTATAAAATAAAGAGAAAAAGCTTCATGGTCACACTTGGCATGATTGCATTACAACCAATTTATACCAAGGATGAGGTTAAAAGTTTGACTCTTGACCAAAGATAAAGTCAAAATCTTGAGCTCTTTTAGTGACCAAAACCTAATAGAAACTTTGATTGGCCCAATTAGAATAAGATGATGTGTTGCAATCTTAGCCCTAAATGACAAGTCAAATTCAAATAGATTAATATACTCTTTCATGAGCCAGTCAACTGCTGCAACACAAAGACCGTTAGAGAGATCTAAAGAAGGAATAGTGGAACAAAATAAAAATATAAGAGGAAGTAATAAAGAAACAAAAGTGATGAAAGCAAAAGTAAAAGTAGAAATATAAAGAGAAACAAAAATAAGAGAGAAATGGAAAAAATATAAAGAAGTATAAAATAAGGGGAAGAAGATTCATGGTCACACTTGGCATAATTGCACCGCAATCAATTTATATCAAGGATGAAGTCAAAAGCTTGACTTGGCATCACCTGTAATAACTGCAGTTTAAGCTCAAGATCACCCACATGCACAATTAGATCCACCTCATCCCTTGCACATGCATATACATAGCTGTTGCCATAAAGAATGAAAACTAGCTCTGCCATACGATACAAATGTAGACAAAAACATATGGCAATAAGTTGAACTGTATCAACCAATACGAAGAGAATAATAAGAAATCTCTTATTATAAAAATGAGATCCTACTCACATGATTCCTTGTTTCCCAGAAGCATCTTAGTGTCTAGACCTTCTATTGCACCAGCACCAATCAGATGTTGTTGATGCCAATGTCTCCACCCAAGAAATGAAGCTCACTAATTTAGAAAATACTAATAATGCCAATAAATGTGACTAACTTCATCATATGCCTAGCAACAAATATCACAACCATGTCCTTGCCCTTATCTTTGGACTTGGGCAGCAGCAACATTAACCTTCATTGAAACATGACCATCTCCCACATAAAGTAGAGTTGAAAGATGTGTAACGAGAATGTAAGGAACCAACTCCCCAAGGTGTCGTAGGCTAAAGGATCCCCGAAAGTATGACCGAAATGACAAAGAGTTCATCGGATGGGACTGAGTCGGAGATCGAGTCCAAGACCGACTCTGAGACCGAGTTCGAGATAGAGTCTAGGATAGAGTTTGAGGCTGAATCGGAGACCGAGTTCAAGACCGAGTTTGAGACTGAGTTTGAGACTGAGTCTGAGATCCGAATCAGGTCTAAGACCGAGTCCGAGGTCGAGTCCAAGATCGGGTCCGAGATCCAGTCCAAGACCGAGTCCAAGTACTAATACAGGTCAAGGGGTGAAAGCCCAAAGCGTGCATCTCCCGGGGGTGGGGGGGGGGGGGGGGCGGGGGGCTGCAGGGGGTTCCAAAAGTATAGTAGGGATAGTGAGGTCCAGGAACCAGTCTTAAAAGAACTTTCCAGTGGTGCTTCCAAACTGATTTGAGGTTGAGGCTGGGGTCGAGGGGCCTTGGGTGGGAGTGAGCATGGACTCGAGTGGGGCTGGAGGGGCCACCCAAGGAAGTGCTCAAGAGCAACTCCCACTCCCGAAAGTGAAACTGCCTGTGGTGCTCCCGGCTCATGTGGAGTGGTGCCCCACTTGAGTATCTTGTGGCTCATTGGTCCTCGCCCTTCCTAGGGGCTTGGGCCTTCCCCTTGGGATAAAAGTGGGGGGGTAGAGGTACCCATACTGGGCCGTTACGCCACGGTGTTTCGCCCTAATGTCCCGAAGCAAGTGTTGCACCCAAGGCTTAGGATTTAGAGGGTCCCATGATCAAGTCTTGTTATACTAAGGGATGTTAGGAACTTGGAGGCTTGGTGTGCTTGGCTGCTTGTGCCTGCGGGGAGTGTAGCTAAACCTTAAGTCTAGTCTAACCCGGGGAGGGGGATTAGGAGAGATTTGGGAATCCGTGGATGGATGGATAACGCTCCATTGCTCGTGTAGTGAATAGCTAAAACCAAGTAGGACCAAGTAGGAGCTGGTACAATAAGCGGGAACTTTGGCAAGGGATTTTAGCAAAAGCCAAGGCAGTGTTGGTCAGATAGACAAGGTAAGCTGGCAAATTGGAAAGGAAAAATTTTTGACTTACAATTTGGTATCGGAGCATTTTCCTCAATTCTAGAGAAGAATAGAGGCGGATTGCTGGGAGATGGCAAAGGCATGGCAGAAACAAACCAAGACAGAGATAGAACCTCCGCCAGAGCTAGAGCCTCCAATCGAACAAAAGGCTATGGATGAGGAATCCTTGCATGAGGAGGACTCCAGTGAGGAAACTTCCAAACAGGAGTCCGGTGGCGAGGTTTGGTCATCCAAGGCTCGATTGGACATTCTAGAAGGACAATTGGCACAGACCAATGCCCTGCTGGAGACTCTCGTACGCAAGCTGAAGCGTGACGAGAAGTGGAAGAAAAAGCGTAAGACTGCAGATGCTAGTAGTGCAGAAGGTGTGGACCCTTCGATAAGGACTGAGGCTGAACTAAACAAGGTCGAACAGACCAAAGTGGAATCATATATTATAAGCAAACGAGGGTGTATGTTCCAGAAGGGGAATTAAGGAAGGTAGCCTTAGAAGAGTGTCATGACGGACCTTTTGTGGGACATGGCGGAATGCCTAAGACAATGGGCTTACTCAAGAGAAAGTATCACTGGCCAAATATGACTAAGGACGTCCAAGACTATGTAAAGACAT